GCCATCTTTTTCCGTCCAAAAGGCAGAGAAGAGGAGAGTGACGCGGCTAGAGAGAAATTCGCTGTACCCGAGAGCGATCACTTGACGTATCTTAACGTTTATATGCAGTGGAAGAGTAACAAGTAAGTCAGTTTGTTATTTTATTTGTAGGAAGTAGGAAAAACGAACTAAGCAAATTGTAATGCGATGCTTAAAGATACCGGGCACTTCTGTTTCTAGGGGGTGGCTGTTTAGCGGCGATCGGCCGAGAAGACAGCATGTTGGTTTCTGTTGGTTAGAGTATCCCACGTGTTTCATGAAGCAATTAAACTTTCAATAATTTCAAGTTCTGTCCTGGTTTGCTGTATTTTCCTTGCTTTGTTGGATCCCAGATGAATCTTGAACTTTCTACAACAAGGCTTTGTGTATATCTATATGGCTGGTTCAGGTTGTAATTTTAGTGTTTCGTTCTAATGCAGTAATGGTGAGACGAGGTAGGGTGGGTTGTGAAAAAGTGTGTTCGAAAACGCAAACATACATCGTTGTCATTCCACTAATATTTATGCATTTTCTTTCCTAGCTTTTAGTATAATATTATTGTGTACTTTTTTAACAGTTACTCAGCCCAGTGGTGCAGCGAGCACTTTATTCACATCAAAGCTATGCGAAAAGTGAGTTTGTTTTTGTTCACATGTTTAGAAATTTTGTCTTGTGCAATGTACCACCAGTTGGGATTTTTAACAAGTTTCTGTTCAATTTACAATATTTGTTTGCTTGTTTCAGTTTCCTAGTGTTAAACACTTCGATACTTAAATGTAGTGATTTATTATTTTATCATTTATGTTATTGCTAGAAAGGACAAGGGACTTTTTGCGCAATAACATTTAAAATGTTTTCTCATTCGGATTTAGTATTAACAAGTAAAAACAGATCCCTGTAAAAGCGTTTTCAAAGATTTTAACATATATTAAACCAGTATTCCGAGCTCCTTAAAGCTGATCGAATCCTGTTCAGGTTCGAGAAGTCCGTGGGCAGCTAAAAGATATCATGATACAACAGAAGATGCCGCTGAAGTCCTGTGGAAATGATTGGGACGTCATCAGAAAATGTATCTGCTCGTCCTACTTTCATCAAGCTGCCAGATTGAAGGTGAGAAAGACAACATACGTGAACCGGTAAGAGTTCAAACCGTCTCTCTTGATTAGACGCTATATAATTTTCCTCTAGGAAGGCTAATGGTCAGCGCGCTGGACTCAGCCCTGGTGTTTAGCCCTACCGTCGTGATTGCGTTGTGTTCTTATGCAAGACACTTTACTCTCACAGTACTCTCTCCACCTAGGTGTATAAATGGGTACCGGGGAATTTACTGCTGGGATTGACCTTGCGATGGACCAGCATCCCATCCAGGGGGGGAGTAGAAATACTCCTAGTCGCTAACCGGGATAAATTCCGGTGTCATGCACCACTATCCTGACACAGACGTCTTTCCGAGTTGGTGGAAACCTTCTTAACCTTCTTCAGGCAAATTATGATCAACAGTTACAACACATATCGTAATGAAATAAGATGGGAATAAGCTCCCCTGTATGACAATAAGGGCGGGGGGAGAGGTGGGGCTTATAATCAGAAGACATGATAATATAAGGGGAACTATGAGTATGGGTTATTGACCAAGTGTGAGGTCAAGATGGCTGGATATTGGCCTCGTTCTTTTTTTGCGTGTTTATGGACCTCGACTCCGACTCGGTCCATAAATTCGCAAAAAAAGAACGAGGCCAATATCCAGCCATCTCGACCGAACAGGCTTGGTCAATAAAGGATTTATTATATGGCTTTCGGGGAACCTTTTCTTGCGGGAGACGGCGGGTAGTCCCGAGCGGGCAAGATAGCTCCATCTTGCCTGCTCGGGCAGCCAATCACAGCGCAGGATTTGATTCATCTTGCCCACTCACGGAGCTAGCCATATAATAAGGCTGTTTATTATCGGCAAGAGTTATCCATCTGGGAGGCTTTCCTCTAGTGCAGCTTGTTTTCATCATGTTGAAGTACTCTGTTGTGAACAACATAAGCTCGTGCTTGGTTTCAGTCTGGCCATTTTAATCCATTTTCCTGCAGGGTATCGGAGAATACGTAAACATGAGAACAGGGATGCCGTGTCATCTTCACCCCACCAGTGCACTGTTTGGCATGGGATACACACCAGATTATATTGTCTACCATGAACTGGTCATGACTTCTAAGGTAAGAAAATGCCATGTTTTTTTTTTATTATTATTATTTTTTTATTTTTTTAAGTAAGCTATCGCAAAGACGCCTAAGAAAATTTAGGGCTCATACAAATAGGACCTGATAAAACTACCTAAATGCAAACTAAGATGTGCTAGACGCATGATCTCTTTGAATCTTCTCATTAAGGACTCTTTAAAAACCGTTGTACGTTGTTTTCAAAAAGGTTGATACAAGGATTTGTTTTGCGTCAGTAACCGGTGGCTTGCGTTTAAACTGAGTATTTTTCATCTCATCGACACAGGAATACATGCAGTGTGTCACTGCTGTGGACGGTAACTGGTTGGCAGAGCTTGGACCTATGTTTTACACTGTCAAAGAATCAACGAAAACCAGGCTGGTGAGTTCTTTTGTTCTGTAAACAGAACCATTCAGCTTCAAGTCCTCACGAGAAACGTATTAAGGTGACCTGAGATAAGCTACCGTAGCTTATCTCAGGTCACCTTACGTTTTTTCGCGAGGACTTTTGGTAAATTAAGCAGTCAAATGTAACTGAAGGTAATATACCACGTACATAATATGAAACAGGACCATTTGACAATTTGATGTTGCTTCAGACAAACGTATACTACACTACTATATGGGTACTACAGCGTGCAGCTTTTTGGTGACGAACCATTTCATTTTACCATGTCCGTTAAACAAATTTCAACAAATTTGTGGTAACCTAGAGGAACCGTTGGGAGACCTATGCTCTACAGGTTTCTGTGTCAATTGTGGTCGTTTTGCTTGTTCACTAGGAGAAAAGAAGGCGTGCTCGAGAAGATTTGTCGGCGATGGAAGAGGAAATGGCGGCCGCTAGTGCGCAGATGAAGGCGAGAGAAGAGGAAAAGCTGGCCAAAGAAACTCCGTCCGTCAGGTCAGTATATGATGGCCCTTAGCCCCATAATGAAATCTTCGATTCTCCTTACCTTTTTGTTACAAATTCAAGTAGCAGGAAACGAGAATTAACTATCTGATCTTAAAACAGTACATGAAGAAAATGTTAGTCTTAGTTTCGAGTCTTACACTAAAGTATTGCTTTTGCCATACATCACAGGTCACAGATCGCCACACCAGGGCGTAAAGCCCCTGCTACTCCGCGCCGCACCCCCTTCAGATTTGGACTGTAGCGTCAACAACAAAAGAATCATGCTTTGTTTTCTCCATTGGAAAACCGGAAGATTTGGAAGTAGTGTTCGATCGAGATTTCACCATTCTTCGTTTTGCGTCAGAGTTGAACTAATCTCGAGGAAGAACTTAAAATGAATCACAAAAATCTCGAGCTTTGTGCCAAAGCCAGTG